CACCAAAAACTTGTGAATTCCTTCTCTACGTAGGTCCATGCCTTCCTCGAGCAATTTCTGATGAATAGTAGGAGCTTTAAAGCCTTTACTGTAATAATAAAGGATCCTAGCCTTCTGGTAAGAAGTGAACACAGCCATTTTCCAATAAGAGGGTGCGGTCAATTATTTTAATTACGCTAATTAGAACACGTGCAGCAAGTTATCGTAGCAACTAAGTTTAAACGAAACCAAAACAAATACGGTACGGATTGTTTCGTTGAACGATCGTTTTACAGTGTAAAAACGTGAATTTTTTTGTCTTATACTGTACATGAAAAATTATGAAACAAAATAATAATAAAATAATTAAACAATGGAGCAATCATTTTACGACAACAGCACTATCATATATATAATGTCATCACAAATGAAGGATACAAAATGTATGCTATAGCTCTTGCAGCAATAATTATGCATATGCAACAACATTAATTATGCTAAAATTTTAGATCATCACATAATTGTTACACTATTATACATATGCAGTACATAGTAAACCTTCTTATTTTACTTATGTTTTATTTTTTAAATCTTTGCCATTGTTTATGTTTAGTAAATATCATTGGACAGATGAGCCTGAATCTATTTATATCCAGGACTTCGATCAACCAACAGAAGTAAATGTTCTTATACCAAACACTGTGAGGGAGGTTATAGAACTAATTTTTGACCACACACTAGTTTAGCACCAAGTGATAGAGACTAATCGATACGCCAGATCAGTAATGGAAGATGAGAAATAAGAGAAGTCGGAGAAATTACGGGTGAATGACATGTACGCCTACTTTTCGTCATGACTATGATAGGTTTTGTTCACCCCCCATCAATTCACAATTATTGGAGTAGGGATTCTCTTTCAACTTTCCAGCAATTGGTGAAAGAATGACCAGGGACAAATTCTTTGAGATACATAGATATCTCAAGTTTGTTGACAATGACAGTGTGAGCCAACCAAATACTCCAGGGTATACCACCTTTGTAAAGCATGATATGTCATAGAAATGATAAAGGATCCTTATACAATTGTCATAGGGAATGTAGTGATGAGGCAATGCAAGGGCAGGTCAACCTTAAAACTAGATGT